TATATACGGTGGCAAATTTATGGCATGATTTTATGACCCAAAGAACAACACAAAACTAAACAAAACACACACACACTCTCTCTCTCTCTCTCTCTCTCTCTCTCTCTCTCTCTCACTCTCTCTCTCTCTCTCTCTCTCTCTCTCTCTCTCTCTTCGTAAGGCTTTGAATAGTTCCGGTAATAACATGAAAATAAATGAAATATACAAATGGATACATATGTGAAACAAAATTATATAATATAAATAAGTTCCTGATGCAAGAATCAGAATGAAATCAATAAATACATCTTATAACTTACCATCAGGGTTACCATTCTGTCTTTAGCAATAGTACCAATTCAGGCTACTGAAAAGTACCAGATCAGCACAAAATGTACCCAGTCAGATTCCTTAATTGATTTGTTTGTGCTTCTTGCCTATTGAAGCAAGAAGTCTCTTTGCTACGGCCCGACACACACTCTGGCACATGACAATGGCTACACAGCACTAACTAAAAAAAAGATCTAGTAAAAAAAAAAAAAAATGATATTGATGGACACTATAATTGCAGTACGAACATATGAATTACTACGCAATATTTTACATCACTAGCAGCGCACCTTTAGCGAGATGTGATACTTCACTGCGTAAACAATGTCACTTCCCTTCGTACCCCATACGCGTCCCTGACGTGTCCTAGACTGTATTCGAGTCTGTTGCTATGTTACCAGTTTGTTAGGAAAGTGTCGCCTTACTATGTGTGTAACAAGAAGGAAGAAAATAACAATAGTACCAGAAATATAACATTTTCCTGAAAGCACCCAAAAGTACCAAATCTAGGACGTTAGTAACAAGAAGGAAGAAAATAACAATAGTACCAAAAATATAACATTTTCCTGAAAGCACCCAAAAGTACCAAATCTAGAACGTTAGTAACAAGAAGGAAGAAAATAACAATAGTACCAGAAATATAACATTTTCCTGAAGCACGTACCAAATCTAGGACGTTACAAGAAGGAAGAAAATAACAATAGTACGATAAAAGCACCCAAAAGTACCAAATATAACATGTGAAAGCACCCAAAAGTACCAAATCTAGAACGTTAGTACCAACTCTGGCAGTTCTACTTACCATTGCTAAAACGTGATGGCGATGAGGTCTTGATGAATAGATTATTTCTCGCCAGAGTTACTGTCGCTTCGCCGACATGACGACACTGGAAATACGAAAGATTATTTTATAAGAATACATACGTAAATACTGCCTAGGATAATGAACTCACGTGTAAAGAGTGCTTGTTTTGATACATGAATTCATAGGCAAATATAGTCTAGTTCGATAAAGGAATTCATAATCTAAATTCAAAGTTAACAGAACCCACATAATGGAATCCGAGCGCAAAGATTAAGTGATATGACCTTCAGCTGCAGATCGGATCAAATTCACTTCGCGGAAACTTGTATCCATTTCCGAACGACAGTCGAGGCCGCCCGGGAAGAGTGACCTCTGTACTAGCACTATGTATGCGTGTATGTATGTATATATGTATGTATGTATGTATGTGTATGTATGTGTATGTATGTATGTATATGTATGTATGTATATGTATGTATGTATATGTATGTATATATATGTATATATATATGTATATGTATATATATATATGTATATATATATGTATATATGTATATATGTATATATATAAATATATATATATATATATATATATATATATATATATATATATATATATATATATATGTGTGTGTGTGTGTTTATGTGTATGCGTGTGTGTGTGTGTGTGTGTGTGTGTACATGTATGTGTATAGACCAGAAATCCAATAACCTCATAAAGGCGGTCAGCGTAAGTGTTTGTGACCCGTTCTGTACACAACCTGAACAAACGGATGAGCGCAGGCATGCCACATCTGTCAACGCAGCTCCGCTCCAAGAACTAGCGACATGCGCACTAGCGACCCTCAGTTTTCCCCACATTCTTACGCGGATTTCCAAAGAATGTTTAGTTCAAAGGAACTTGTTGAAAAATAAACCAAGGATCAAAATGAACACTAAAACTTTAAACGCAATTTTGCACATTCGTTACGGCTGAGTTACATAATAAAGCAAACTCGCCCCACACATGAATGTACGAGCAATGTGCTGGATCCAGTAACAGCAAGCAAGGTTTATATACTTAACAGCAAGCACTCTCCCGCCAAATACCCCGGGTGGACGCACTGATTTGAAACGTCCGGGGTATTTGAGCACACAAAGCCAGAGAGCTTTAATCGTACCATTTTGGTATGGAAATAAATACAACAACGTAATTGCGTATCGAAGATTCTGTGGAGACTGATATATAATCACATAATGTAAACAATACTGGTAATAATTCTACTTCGTAATCACATAATGTAAGCAATACTGATATTCTTTATAATTCTATCGTTTCTTCGTAATGACTTCTACTTTCTTCGTTGTTGGGTGTATATGCATTATAATAACATAATCAAAGTGACATTCACATTTCAGCTTCAATTTACGTAATTCCGGCGTACTTCTGTACAGACGAAACATCCTTGCGATCATTTGATAACGGTTTGTAAATTGCGTCCGGGTTTTGCTGCCGGACCTTTCGAGTCCATGAGTGAAACATACAGAGAGAGAGAGAGAGAGAGAGAGAGAGAGAGAGAGAGAGAGAGAGAGAGAGAGAGAGAGAGAGAGAGAGAGAGAGAGAGAGAGAGAGAGAGAGAGAGAGAGAGAGAGAGAGAGAGAGAGAAGAGAGAGAGAGAGAGAGAGAGAGAGAGAGAGAGAGAGAGAGAGAGAGCGAGCCAGCGGGTTCCCAACCTGGGGCCATGAGGTAATATGCAAATTATTATCAGTTGGATTCAATTGAATTTTATCTCACCTACAGCACCTACATAAAATTATGGCTCACGTATAAAAACTTCCCATAAACTGTTTTTTTTTTCTTTGTGCTATTGACACCATTACATTATTTGTAAGTAGTAATAATTGAACCGGAAAAGGTGACCGTCTCTGAAAGGGGCCAAGGAGACTGTTATATATTGGTTGGGAGTTACAGACTGAAAAAGGTGGGGAACCATTGATCTAGCCAAAACAGAGTACGTGTGTCTGACAACACTGTGTGTGTGTGTGTGTGTGTGTGTGGGGGGGGGTGCGCGTGCGCGCGCGCATATAACATTAGTAACAAAAACATAATAACTTGACATATGCACTAAAGAAAAAAAATCATGGACTATTTAATTCCGTTTTATTTCCTATCCTACAAATAAGCGAAAATATTAAAGAAAAAAATCATTTTCTGGAATCATGAAGTACACAGGTAGCTCAATCTGACAGTGCATAAATAAAACATTTTTTACCAAAGTGACATGCAAAGTTGGGCAGTTTGGAAAAATAAGCGAACCGTTAATTTTTACTGTACATTCTGAACTGTCCTGCATTACATTTTACTGTAATGTATTTTATTAATTTCACTATACTATATCTTATTCATTTTTTCTGTACTATATTTTTTTAAGAAAATTCCAGTTGAGGAAAAAAATCTTAATAAAATACACAATTTCAGTACAAAGTGTATCTTCAGAACGCATGTATTTTGGTGAAAATAGTAAATCTAGTGGATACAGAAAAATAAATAGTACAATATTTAAGATCATAGGGTTAATTTCAGAAAATATAAGAGAAAAAAAATATCTAGTCTTAATAACTCGGGGAAATAACTATTCCAAAACTGTAGGTTAGTAAATTCATTAACATTTTAATCTGATACAGCTTCAGCATAATTTATTGATTTCTTCAAGCAGATTATGTAATTGCGTTTTATGAAGGCGGCCACGACTATTCTCCTTATCAATTCTTAATTAAAAGCATTTCTGACGGTAAAATCGCATAAAATGACTTCCATTCTAAGAGCGGGAAAACTTTATTACTTTTCGAATCTAATCTAATCCACAATACATATACGCTCTCTAGCTCTCGTTCTCGATATCTTTCTATCTCCTCCCTCCTTCTCTCTCTCTCTCTCTCTCTCTCTCTCTCTCTCTCTCTCTCTCTCTCTCTCTCTCTCTCTCTCTCTCTCTCTCTCTCTCTCTCTCTCTCTTCTCTCTCACCCTCCCTCTCTCTCTCCTTCTCCCTCTTTTCCCCTCCTCCCCCGCCTCTCGCTCTCTCTCCTTCCTCCTTCCTCCCTCTCTCTCACTCTTTCTCTCCTTCTCCCTCCTTCCCTCCCTCTCTCTATTTCTCCTCCCCCCCCCCTCTCTCTCTCTCTCTCTCTCTCTCTCTCTCTCTCTCTCTCTCTCTCTCTCTCTCTCTCTCTCTCTCTCTTTCTCTCTCTCTCTCTCTCTCCTCTCTCTCTTCTCTCTTCCCTCCCTCCCTCCATCACACACACACACACACACACACACACACACACACACACACACACACACACACACACTTGTTCCTTTATCCAACCAACTTACCAGTCCATGAACTCTCCGATCAGACTCAAGGTAACTCGTACCAAAACATCCACGATCTTCACGCGTCACACCGCAACACCCACCATGTTCCTCCACGAAAGAAAATCAACCGAAAACACACGAGGTCGAACAACATCCTCTTCCAGGTCGACACAGACGGCACATGGAGACCTCAGGTGCGAATAAGCCGAGTCCTGAAGCCGGTATTGCGTCGAGCGCGGGTTAGCGTCGGGCTCGAAGCACGGAACGCGAGACACTAATCGTGCTTCAATCGACGCAGATCTAAGTTGATGGCATGATCAATTAATAGGTACCTCAACAGGTTAAACAGCAACACTTTGCATTGCGCCATCGCTTTCTGGATGCCACGACGAAAGCGCTCAGTTGCCAATGTCACTGCCCATTACATTTTCTCTATTTTGCACTGTATATTTCATTGTACGTGTATGCATAAGGTATCGGGTTTCATAAAAAACGGACGCATTTGGCAACTTTGCAGATTGTATTGCACGTGTTCAGCTTGCATTCCATATGAACACTACATACTAGCGTGGGTTAAGCAACCCTGCTTAATAGCTGCAATTATAGCATTATCATTATTTTCCGTGTAAGGTTATACTATTCTTAACATCATTATTATTTCTAAATGTCACAAAATTCGTAGTCATTTATATAAATGTGTTTGCTTGTTCGTGTGTGTGTGTGTGTGTGTGTGTGTGTGTGTGTGTGTGTGTGTGTGTGTGTGTGTGTGTGTGTGTGTGTGTGTGTGTGTGTGGTGTGTGTGTGTGTGTGTGTGTGTGAGAGAGAGAGAGAGAGAGAGAGAGAGAGAGAGAGAGAGAGAGAGAGAGAGAGAGAGTGAGAGAGAGAGAGAGAGAGAGAGAGAGAGAGAGAGAGAGAGAGAGAGAGAGAGAGAGAGAGAGAGAGAGAGAGAGACGTGTGCGAGCGTGCCTGCATGGCTGGTTGTGCGGGGGTGCGTGTAAACATGAATGAATAATGTCATTCGCAATATACGGTTTTAAATACCGACCTTGTCCCTTAAATAGGTGGCATGCTTAATCACCATAACAGCGTAGTGTGGGATTTTGAGACCACACAATAAAGGCAGAAGGACCAATATAACGAAAATGTGTTGTCAAGTGTATTCTTCTATATCAATATGTTTCATTTTCATCCAAAATTCAACTGCTTTATCGTCTGCACACGCTATGATACAAACACTGGCATTTACATTCATCATCGACACTGGCATTTACATTCAACATCGAAAACAAAATGCATACGTAACACTGCTGAGCCACCATGAGGTTTACAGCACGCGCAACCTTCTGAAAATTTAAAATTCCTAAACACAAACACCCACGCATAGTTACGTCTTGTTCCCAACCACCTGGCGCCGTGTTGGTGTTATTCTTCAAGTTTCGAGTGTGCGTCATGAATTCATGCGAATATTTGCTTGTTGTTTTCATGTATATTGTATAACTTCTGAAAATGTTGGCATTATGATATCTGTCCCCTTATGCTACGTTTCACATCACCTTATTTTGATCAATAATGTGTGCATGATGCGTACGAGAAACCCAGTAACAGACTGGCATCGTTTTAATGTTTATGCTGAATAACTTCCCACCTCATGGTCTGTCCAAAGAAAAAGAAAAACACCTAATATATACTTACCCGTTCTGGTAAATCTTCACGAACGAGAGAATCTTTTGTCGTTTTCCCCCGACTGTTC